GAGACTTGTCACCAGGGGAGCAATGGGCATGGCACCTCCTCCTGGTTAACCCCCTGACCACGTTCCAAGTTTCCCTTTTCTCTGAGGTCCCAGTGAGCTGAGGCAGTGTTGCCTGGGCTCTCCTGTTGCTTCTTCTATCCTAAGCCCTTCCTTGTTTCATAGTCCCCAGCTTTAGAAAATGTACTCTCAAAACCAACCTTCCTTCCTTCCCTGCCTTCCTTCCTTCCTTCCTTCATTCCCTCCTTCCTTCCTTCCTCCCTCTCTTTCTCTCTCTCTTTATTCTTTCTTTCTTTCTTTCTTTCTTTCTTTCTTTCTTTCTTTCTTTCTTTCTTTCTTTCTTTCTTTCTCTCTTTCTTTCTCTCTTTCTCTATATATTACTGCCTTAACAAGGAAAACAGTTCTGGCACATGTTACAACATGCATGAACTTTGAAGACATTATGCTAAGTGAAACAAGCCATCACAAAAAGACAAATACGTTATGATTCCACTTACATGTGGTACTTACAAGGGTCCAGTTCATGGAAACAGGAAGTAGGGTGGTAGGTTCCAGGGGCTTGGAGGCAGGGAGTGAGGAGTTAGGGTTCAGTGGGTGCTGAATTTCTGTTTGACAGATGAAACAAGTTCTGGTGATCAGATGTACAGCAATGCAAATGTTTTTAACATTTATGAACAGTACACATAAATGTTAGGACATAAATTACATTCTGCATTTTTAGCATAAGAAATTTTTTTGCCCATACACCAAAAGGTTTCAGGTTCAATTCCCAGGTAGGGCACATAACCAGGTTGCTGGTTTGATCCCCAGTCAGGGTGTGTGGGAGCAACCAATCCGTGTTTCTCTTTCACATTGATGTTTCTCTCTATCTCTCTTTCTCCCTCCCCGCTTCCTCTCTCTAAACATATCCTTGGGAGAGAATTAAACAAACAAAAACATGAAGGAAGTAAACAGGGCAAAGGGAGAAATAAACTCATTCTGCTCACCATGCTTCCAGCTGCTTCCTAAGCCTTACAGGTAGCAGGGGAATGGACCAGTAAGTCACAGGCCTGGTCCTGGCAAAGGGCAGAGCTGACCTACAGCAGAGGGACTGTGCCTCTGAGTGGGAGGGACTGACAGAGGGGCCAGGTGGGTCAGAGGCAGGTAGGCAAGCAGCCGTGTGGAGGGGAGAGTGCCTGGGGCATTGTGTGGGGACCTGAGAAATAGATCTTTAGGACCCATTTCCCATCATCTGTCCATAGACTGTCAGCCAGAGAGCCTGGGACAAAGCACTATTGACCTTTTCTATGGTTTTAGTGGGACAATCCCTGGAAGGGTCACAGAAAAGTTCATGAGGTGAGATGTTCACTCAAACCTACAGTGAATTAAGGAGTGGAATGGCTTCATTTGTAATGTACTATTTTGGGGCTTTGGTTTTTGAGGGTTTTTTCCCATTTTGTATGCTGATTTGGGAGCTCTGATTGCTTGTTAGAAGAATGACAAGGTTAAAGGACATCACCTTGTTTATTTCCTATTTTGCATATGAAAACCCTTCTCTAGGGTGCTTAGGTACCCTTCTGTCCTAAGAAGCCCATGAAGACAAGACCTTATTCATCAGGTTGACCATCAGACCCCCAGCCTAGCGCTGTGTGTGTTTGTGTGTGTGCACCCACATTGACAACTGAAGGAATTTTCAATCTTATTCCTAGAATCAAAGCTAAAAGAAGCTCTTCTTGCCTTAAAGGGGCATGAAAAACTAGATAATACTTCACTATAATCCTGTTCCACACCTCATGTGATGGGTAATTACCCGTCTGGACACTGAAGGGGAAGGGCTGGCAGAGTGGAGGGTCGGGAGCCTGCACACTCCCTGAAATGACGGCCAGGCACCTCCAGCCTGGTGTGACCATTCACTATGAGGAAGGATCGGGAACGAGCTTTGCCTGTTTCTGTTTCAGCAGCAGAGAAACCAAGGGGAGCAGTGCCTGAGCCTCAAGGGGGAAGTTTAGTAAGAGGGTGACGTGCTTGAGTCCTGCAAAAGGAAGAGAGGAAGGGCAGCCCTTGACTTAACAAGCCACAGGAAACATAGTCTGCCTTTTTTCAAGCAGCATTGGTTCTAATGTCTTAAAAGCCAACATTGAGCGTCTGCTAGGGCCACGGGCACTGGTGAAAAGAGTGCACCCCGCCGCATGTGATGGGGAGGGGCTGTGTCTGAATGTACTGGGAAAAGGTCAGGCTTTTCTGTCTGAGGTTGGCCACGGAAGGGGACCTCCTAGGAAATAGCTGAGTGCCAACAGTGGGTCCAGCCAGTCTCAGGGAACTGTAATGGGAACGGACACAGGGCTGGCAGGGCAGGCTGCTGATGGACATGCTGTGAAGAAATCTCTGGATTGGGTGAAGCTGGACTATGCCTTTCCTGCTTTCCACCATAGAGAGTCAGTTCTTCCGTTTGCTTGTTAAGAAAGAACAGTGTGACTTTTCAAAATACAAGTCTTATCAAATATGTTTAACCCGGTCATCTTGGTTTGCTTTTATGTTATAGGGCTGCAAGAGGAGAATTTCTTTTTACTACTTTGGATGCTCAGTGCATTATCAGATGTTTAAGGCAGATTTCTGCCCTACTGGTGTTCAAAACAGAATATATACTAGTATGTAAAGAAGTCCAGTGTTAGCAAAAGCTATGGATGCAGCAGATCTGTCTGTTTGTAAGATTTACCCCATGAATGATAATTACAGGAAAGTAGTTGTAATAGTGCCTAGGACTACCTCTTAAATTATAGAGTTAGTCACCTAATGTATAGCCCTGAGTGGCTAACTCACTTGGTTAGAGCATCATCCAGATACACTGAGGTTGTGGGTTTGATCCCTGGTCAGGGCACATACAAAATACAAGAAACAACCAATGAATGCCTAAATAAGTGGAGCAATCAAACGATATTATTTTCTCTTTTTCTCTCTCCCTCTCCCCGCTTCCTGCCTCTTTTCCTCTCTCTCTCTCTCTCTAATCAATAAATTAAAATAAAAAATATAGAAAGGTTTTTAAATAGAAAGATCTGTTTATTTAAAAAAGACAACTGGGAAGTAGAAGATAGAAGAGGCAGATGCCCTCCTATCCAGCGAGAATAAATGTAAATAGGTACAATGTGTTTGCATAAAAGTGTGGCTTGAGATATGAAGAATGTTTATATGCTCTGACCCAGTCATTCTACTTCTAGAATTATCTTAGGGTAAAGAATCTCAAGTGCAGGCAAAGCTTTATGTAAGAAGAATGTTTTTGTACTCTTTTCATCAAGAATTGGAAAGAAGCTAAGGCCCAGCAGGTGTGGGAGGACAGCTGAGGGGACCAGGCACCCTCAGGGGGGCCTGGCCCCTGACAGCAGGGCTCAGGGATGGAGCTGGGTCAGCAGGACCCCAGGCCCCTAGGGGACAAGGATCTTGCAGAAAGACGCTACAGGCTTTGGGAAGTGACAGCACCAGGAAACTGATCAAGACAGAGAAGAGGGCACGCGGTGCAAGACAGTTTGGGAACGAGAGGGTCATTGACAAGTAAACAGATGCACACTAGTGAGCATGTGGTGTGTTGCTGGGGACCATCCTGCCTGGTCTCAGGAAGTTGTAACCCCCTGTGACTTAGGCTGAGTGAGAGACCTCCAAACCAGGAGCCACTAAGGAGACAAAACTTATTTCCCTGGCATGAACGCTGCCTGTTCTGTGCCTGACCTCCTAAGCTTGATCAGTTAGCCAATAGCTGGTAAGATTTCTCATGGAGGGAATCACTTAAGACAGGCATGATCATTAGGAGGCCTCTGGGAAGAGATTGGGGCTGTAGAAATGAAGGGGTGATGGACGTCAACCCCTGCCCCCTCAGCTTTGTCAAAGCCTGAGTCCTTGTTCTTAGATGTGAGAAATCCAAGTCTCCTGGCTGCCTGTGTCTTCTCTGTTAACTCAGGCCTATGGAAATAACAGGGGTGGTGCAGCCCGGACCACAAATGGCGGACCCCCAGGGTAATCAGGCCTGAGACATAGAATATGCAAGATCCTGTGAGATCTCTTTGCTGGAGGATGTTATTAGATTAGAATATGAAGACACAACAGGAAACCAAAACCAGCCCTTTGAGCCATATGTTAAAACTCCAAGCTCTGCGCAGAATCACAGCGGGGGTTCTGTCTGCACCTTGTAATTCACCTACTTCTTTTGATCTTTTCTGCCAGACTATGAATCCACAAACTAAGTCTGTAATCTCAATAAAAATCTGCTTGGGAATGGATACGGGGTGCTCTTCACTAGAGAGAGTGGCCGTTCTGTCCCTATTTCCCCACAGGACCTGGTTGTCTCTGTATATGTTTTTCTTGTGTTTCAACGAGCATCCGCAGCCGAGATGGATACTGCTGGCCAGTATCCGCCGCAGTGTGTTAGAGAGAGTAGAGCGTGGTCCTCACGGACACGGGATCTGGGTCAGAGAGACTGCGGTTCCAGTGCCGGCCCCTGCACCGCTGTGAAGCCTTGCCCTAGCCCGAGTTCAGGGGAAAACCTGGCCTTTCTGCCAGTTCCCTCCCCTGTCAGATGGGAGCTACCGTGGTGCCCACCCCACGAAATGTGTGAGAGCACTTGATGAGGGAACTAGGAGGGGACGCTGCCATAGATCACGGTCAGTGTTGGCTTTATTGATTAGTAACACAAATGTTCCAGCCTCAAGAAATCTCCAAAACATCCCTTCCCATCTTTTCTTCTGTGTTTGGTTTTATTGCTCATTTGGATTCATGACTTCTCAGATGTCTGTCTCCTTGTCTGGTCATCTTCTTCTTCTGACCCTACAGGACAGCAGGAGTGTGCTGGAGGGAGGTGAATGACTTCTCTGGAAGAGCAGCGGGCAGAGCCCAGCACACAGAGAGACACGTTGGGCTCAGTCCACTTGGCCCCTACATCCATCCCAGAGGGCAGCACCAGAGACCCGGCCTCTTGCTGCCCCCTTGTGGCCACAGCTGGCTCCCATTCCACCCACAATTTGTTTTCTCTTCCCCAGGGGTGAATTGCCACCTCTTTCTAGCTGGACACAGGAGGGCGAGCTGAAGGCAAAAACCCCGAGATCCCACTGCTGATACCATGGCCTCAGAAGCTGGCAACGTCAACCCAGGTAGTCAGTGCCCTCTCCCTGGATGGTTCGTACTCGTGACCCAGAACTGAGCATGGCGCCTCCAGGCTGAGTGTATCCACACAGGAACAGGAACCTGCAAGGGGGCTGATGAGGGTCCTGGAGCCCCCAGTGGGGGCCAAGGGGAGCTCCCTCAACCCAGAACCTATGGGTGACCCCTCCCTGGTTCTGTCCTCAGGATGCTCACTGCCTCTCTTCCCCCCACTCCCATGCAATGACACAGAAGAGGCCAGCACAGCCCACAGGAAGTTAGGAGTCTCTTGTCCCCTCTGTCCCCTCAGTACATAAACAGTTGAGTGCTCTTGTTCCCTCCTTCCAGACCTGGTTTCCTTTCTCCCTATGAATGAACCAAGGAAAAGAATAAACAGCCCTCCACCCACCCAAATCAGGACTGCATTGCCTTGGCATCCAAACCACCCTCCCAGGAGAGTCCCAGGAGAAAATGTTCTTGTTAACAGTGTAGAACAAGGGAGGGGAGGACAGATCAGAAGCCAGGAGCTCCTGAGGGAGCTCTGGGACCCCTGAGGGAAGACTAGAGCTGGTGGATTCCTGAGGATAAACAAGATGACCTCCTGCTGAAGAAATCAGGAAGGGTGAGGTCACAGGTGCAAATGGGGAGCTGTGTCCCCTGTGACCCACCTGGAGGGACAGAGGTGAAATTGATTGATCCCAGCATTAGAGCTGAGGTCTAAACACCTACTTCCCTGGTGACCCCCTTCCAGCCCTGACCCGTGTGTCAGTGGGTTGGGAATCATCTCAAAAGTGAAAGGTCACAGGTTCAATTCCCTGTCAGGGCACATGTGTGGGTAGTGGAATCGGTCCTTGGTACCCTTTTGAGTGAGAGGCATCCAATTATTATTATTTTTTAATCAAATTAATGTTTTATTTGTAATCATTTAATAGAAGATGGAGTATAGAGTCATCGACTCTCAACGATCCCAGTTTCAAACAGTTATTTACTGATATTGGAGTTCAATTTCTTTTAAAAAGAAATTCAAAAGTTTGGGATAAAAGGTTCCTTCCTAAAGCTTTTGCTGTTACTATAGTTTATAATTTTTAAAAATCTAATAATTTGTTAGGTACTTTTTTTTCTCAATTATTTTTTGAGAGAAACATTAATCTCCTTCTCCCTCCTTTCTACTCTCTCTAAAAATAAAAAAGTAAAATCTCAGAAAGAAAAAGACACCCCCTCCACTGGCCATCTTGGGGATTCTGTGAGCAGCAGGAGGAATCTGGGCAGGGCATTTAGGGCAGGGAATTAGCAGGGCAGTTTTACTGAAATCAGTGGTGTGTGGTCCGAAACATTTTTAAATTAAAAAATAAACACCCAGAGGTAGACTACAGCATAGAATGAAGAACAAGTCACATGAATTTTCAAACACAAGGAGGCAGTAAATTCATGTAGAGTGATGTCTGACACTGGGCTCCCACTCAACCTCTGAGCTCTCCGCCTGCTGGCGTTGGGCCGTCATTACCCTGTCCGAGTTTCACTTTCCTTTTCCTGGAACAAGAATAATGTGTCTAGTGGGTATTAGCAGGAAACACGTTTCCCCTCCCGTCTCTGCACACACAATGCACACACTAGTCCCCCACCCCTCAGCGGCCACTCCATGGCCTCCAAATCCCTGAGAGCCACATGTTTGTGGCAGCTCAGCTGGGCAGTCATCTTGCTCTGTGCTGACGTGAGACTCTTTACAGTCGGTACAGGGTCTGCCCCATTTCAGGTGAATACACTTGTTTCACTGTTGCAGCAGGAATGCGGTTGTTACTGGGCCCTGCCCAGGCCCTGCTGGAGGCGGGAGGTCATGCAGCACGTGTGCCCTGCACTCTCTTTCTGAAAGACCAACAAGTCTGAATTCCCAGACACACCAACATCCCAGAATTAGATATTTAATCCCTGAGGCTGGAAGTCCCGGATCCTGGGGCTGGCAGGGCTGTTTGCTGGGCAGATCCCTCTTCCTGGTTTGCAGATGGAGGCGTTCCTGCTCTGTCCGCACATGCTCCATGCTTCCCCTGTGTGCACGGGGTACAGGGGCGGAGGGGGAGAGAGCGGGGGGGATCTGGTGTCTCTCTGTCTTCCTGCAAGCTCACCAGTCACATTGGTTTAGGGTTCCACACATGTGACCTCATTTAACCTTAACTGTCTCCTCAAAGGTAATTTTAAAACACAGTCACATGGTAGGGAGGTCCAGGCATGGACATAAGGATTTTGGGGACCTGGTTCAGGCCATAACACCACGAGAGCCACCAAAAGGACCCTAGTGACAGCTGCTCAGAAAAGTTAACATTCACCCACCTGATTTATACTCAATACCATTCGCATTCCAGCACAATTTTTTCTTACCTTACTCTTTTTTCTTTCCATCCAGAGAGTGAAGGCTTTCTTCCTGCCATTGGGTTCTTAGAGGACCCAATGGACATAGAGAATCTGCAACACATGCTGAGTGGTGAAGCCTGGGAGAGATTTGTGGCTGCGGCGAAATTGCCCAGGTAACCTCCAGGAGACACCTGTGTTGTCGCCAGATCTTCCCCTGATCTAGCTGACTCTGCCAGGCACACCTCCAGGCAGGGCCCTGTGGTTGGGGTTGAATGTGTTTCTTCTCAACAATCCATGAGGAAGACTTCTTTCTCATCATTCATAGGCAGTGAATGACCTCAGACTGAGAAGGGATAAAACCCGCAGGGGAAGGTTTCTTCATGACTCACTGTCTTATTCCTCTGTTCAATTTTATTTAGAGGAACAGAAGATAATGCATGTAAACTGTTTAGCCTAATGACTGGCACATAGTAGGTGCTCAGTTTACATGAACTTTTCCAAAGATTGTTGGGAAAACACAGGGGCCAAGGGTCTTCCTCCTGGAGATGGGAGGCAAGCAGGACTTGCTTGGGGACAAGCCTGCTACATCCAGGTACATGTGGAGTCCCTGGGGTTTGGCTGGGGGGCTCTCCCTCCCTCGGGGAGGACTCAGACACACACTGCAGGGCCTGCTGGCCCAGAAGGTGGAGAGGCTGGATGGAGCCGGGCCAAGCTGGTTAAATCCTGACTCTGTGTCTGCCCAGCTCTGGGGCTCTGTGCTTCTGTTCCAGAGTCTCTGATTTGTCACCTCTCTGTTCAGTGCAAACAGCAGGTCATGTGATAGGGTGGTGGTGAAGGCCGCAGGGTGCACTGTGGGGTCAAGGGTGAGAGAGAAAATGCAGTCTTCTTGTCAGAGGCCCAGACAGGCCTGCACCAGGCTCAGAGCCAGGGGTCAGGGTGGAACGGGGCTGGGTCCCAGTTGGAGGACCAGGAGGAAGACTCAGCAGTGGGGCTGGGACTGAGGCTCATCAGGCACAAACTGGAGAGGCCAGGGCCCTAGTGGTTGTCCTGTGTGTGGGAGGGGACATTTCTTCCTTCCCTGATTCAGTCTCCTCACTGCTGGGAGTAGCAGGTGTGGGTGACAATGTCCTCCACACTCTGCCTGGGAGCTGGGGTCCTGTCTGCCATTTCGGTCCCTCTTCTGTTCTATGTCATGTCATCCCTGACCAGGGAGAAGGCAGGTTGTGTGGCTCATGACAGACTCCAACATCAGAATGGGTGGCTGTGGCTTTTGTGTGACTTTGGGAATTCTCATGCACCCCGCAGCCCTCTGAGTCTGAGGAAAGTGCTTCCTGCCCCACTCGTCCCGATGCAGGTCTCAGGCCCAGGAATTCATGCAATGGTTGGCAAAGTGGCCTGTGTCTCTAAGAGGTTCCATGAACTTGGACATGGCTTTGATGCTCACACAAGGGAAGCTGTCATCAGCTAATGTGTGAGTTAGGCTGTTGACACCTGAGAGGTCGGGGGTGCTGGATGGGGTCCTGGAGAAACCATGGAACCAAGGTTTGTGGGAGATCCCCTGCTTCCCTGTGAACTGGGGCTGTGCCTAGATCCACTGACCTTCGGTTGGGGAGGTCAAAGAGCATCAGTCTTGGCACAGAGCGGATGCCACCCAGAATGACCATAAAGTTGATTAAGTCAAAGTGTCCACAGTTGCCACAATGCAAATGTGAGGGCACAGTCCCCAGTGCTGCCCTCACTTTTGACACCCACTCAAGAGCACCCACTGAAAACTATCACACCCACAGTAGGTTTGTGACAGGGAAGGACACAGGTCACAGTCAGCCACAGGAGAGAAGCCTGGGGCAGAGTCAGGGAGGGTGTGAAATGTGAAGCCTCCTTTGTCCCCAGGACACCTCACTTTCCCGCATTCAGCTATGACAATGCCCATGAAGCATTGACAGCCAGGAGAGCTCACCCTGGAAAAGACAGATGTCTTCCGACCCTTGTTAACACAGAAGGAGGCTCTCACCCAGGCTGATGGCAGCACCTGTCCCAACTCTCACAACAGAGAGGAGAGACGGGGCTCTACTCTGAATACAGCAGAGACCCCTGGGGGGTTAGAGCCAAAGAACAGACTGGGGGGATGGTGGGCGGGACATGACTGAGAAGGGGTGACATAGGGCATGGGGACTCTTGCTAAGCTCACCTAACAGGGTCCAGGCAGGTCAAGGACTAAGGCTGCAGAGTTGGGAGAAGAGGAATTGATCAGATATCACAGGACGTATGTCATCACATTTGGGAGACTCTCCCTGACCTGACTCATCAGGATTCTTGCTAGGACTGGAAGATACAAGCTGTCAAGGATAGAACATGGAAGGCCAAGGTCAAGGCCTAGTTGAGAAGAGGGCTCAGAAGAGCCTGACGTACATGTGGCAAAGAGTCTCTCTCACCCTGAGCCTCAGTGCACAGAGGGCTCCTGGGGTGGATCACATGGTGTCCACATGGCTGACCTGTAGTGTCCAGTCACCTCTGGAGGCCTAACAAATGTCTTCTTTTCCTAGTTCCTTCTTAGGCTATAAGTGATACTATGTGACTGCAAACCTCCATCATATGTCACCTTGTCAGACTGCCCAATGGCCACAATGTCAGGCTCCTATCAGTCAGGACACTCTAGGGACCCAGAGAGCACATCCCAGTGTCTAAGGCAAAGGGCAGGCCTCTCAGTGGTCAGGTTCCATCTGCACCCCAGTCTAGGATTCTCTGAGTGAAGGTGTTTGGGCTCCTGCCCACTCTCCCTTCTTCACCCTCAGAGTCCCCGGTCCACAGTCACTTAGGTGTTGATGAGGTCGACCTGCCCTTGAGTGAGAAGCCATCTGCATCAAATACTGACCACTTCTGGGCATCCTAGGAGGACTTGCCCTTATTTATCCCTGACGGAACCAGTGCTGTGGAGCAGGTACAAGGGACAAAGTATGTGTTTAATGTTGAAAGGAAAAATCTCTACATTTGTAAAATTCTTTCTGTTTGCTATATAGTTGAAGCTCTGTAATTGTGCAGGATGGATCTTAGTGAGCTGTTTGCAGACATGTCAACTGCCTTTCTCACTCACTTGGCCTGCGTCACTACAGGGAGGAGGCGGATGCGCTGTATGAAGACCTGAACCTGCTGAAAGAACTCATGGCCATGAAGGACAAAGATAAGCCGTCACAGGACCAGCTGTTTAGGGAGATGGTTCTGAAGGAGTTTCCTCAGGTGGAACAGGAGCTCGAGGAGCGCATAGGGAAGCTCCACGCGCTGGCAGACAGCGTTGACGAGGTGCACAGGGACTGTACCATCTCTAACGTGGTGGCTAGTTCCACTGGTGCTGTGTCTGGCATTCTGACCATCGCTGGCCTGTCCCTGGCACCTGTGACAGCAGGGGCCAGTCTGGTGCTTGCAGCAACTGGGGCAGGACTGGGGGCAGCAGCTGCCATTACCAGTGTGTCCACCAGCATCGTGGAAATCTCAAAGAACAAATCAGCAAAAGCCAAAGCCAGTCACCTACTGTCAGATGCCATCAACAATAATGAGCTGGTCATTGAGTGTTTACGTCACAGTGCACCCAGAATTGCTTCCTTATCAAAGTGCATCGAATCCGTGCAGAAAATTGTGAAGAACGTCCGTGCCTTCAAAGTGGCCAAAGCCAGGCCTCTCTTAGCAGCACAGGCCAAGGATTTCATGACCGCAGGGAATATCTCAATCCGAAGCAGCAGGCGGGTACAGAAAGCTTTTGGTGGCACTGCTCTGGCAATGACCAAAGGAGCCAGGGTGTTTGGTTTGGTCACTGCAAGTGCCTTCCTTCTGGCGGATGTGTACACCATTGTGAAGGATTCAATTCACTTGCATGAGGGGCCAAAAACAGAGCTGGCTGAACAATTGAGGGAGCAAGCCCAGGGGCTGGAGAGGATGCTGAAGGGAATCAAAGGGATCCACAAGATTCTGCAGGATTTCATGTGCTGCAAGGATGATGTGAGTAGACTGTGAGTACTGGGGGGAACTGAAAGGGAAGGTCCAGAGGACTAGCAGGTGAGCAGACACTGAGTCAGGGACCTTGGGGACGTTGGGTGCAGGTACACAAGCTGGAAAAGTGTAAGTGGGCCCTGGAGGAGCTGGTGGAAGAAATGAAGACCCAGCTCGAGGAGCTGGAGGACCAGCTTCAGGTCACCGAGGATGCCAAGCTTCGGCTGGAAGTGAACCTGCAGGCCATGAAAGCCCAGTTCAAGTGGGACCTGCAGGGCCAAGATGAGCAGAGTGAGGAGAAGAGAAAGCAGCTGGTCAGACAGGTTCGTATGTCCCTCCCGCTCCCCCTGGACAGGGACATGCCCCTCAGCCTGCCCCCCATGTTCTGGGCAGGCTTCTTTTCTGTCCTACCACCTGGATTGTCCAGGGCTCCTGGACCATTTCTTCCAGTCGTCTGTCCTCAGGAAGGGTGGGGGAGTCAGTGGCTGTATCAGGGTTTTCTGCTCAGTCCTCCAATTGGCCACTGGAGGCTGCATGGACCCCAGAACTGGGCCAAAGCCGCCTGGGCTCAGAGTTGGATTGGGGTGTGTGTGGGTCCAGCCTCTTGAGCTGCCAGTGTCTCCCCAGGTGCGGGAGATGGAGGCAGAGCTGGAGGATGAGAGGAAGCAGCGCTCGATGGCCATGGCCGCTCGGAAGAAGGTGGAGATGGACCTGGAGGACCTGGAGGCCCAGATCGAGTCAGCCGACAAGAACTGCTACAAGGCCACCAAACAGCTACGGAATCTAGAGGTAAAGTCAGGCTGGCCCAAACCAGACCTGGCCGGACTCAGTGGCCCGGGGCTCAGTGTGGGGCTGGGACACTAGTGGGGTGTCCAGTGAATGCTGGGAAGTGCTGCTGTCCCCCAGCCAGGGAAGGCCTTGGTGCCCTTAGCCCGTCTCACAGATGGAGACTCAGGCCCAGAGGCTGAAGGGAAAACAGCCTGAGAGCAAACCTGCAGGACGGCCTGCGCCTTGAGTGTGTGCGAGAGCGGAATGTGTACACCCAGGGCTCTGCAATGGGGTCAGAGGACGTTGTCACATAGTGGCACCTGTTCAGAAGAAACCTGCTGTGGCCCCGGGTGACGCCCTGCAGCCTAATGGGTGATGATGGAAGGTTGGGGCTGAAGGTTCAGAGGAGCAGCCAGAACAGGAACACACCTGGGACGTTGTCCCTAACCCCTACCTAAGGAGTGACAAATTAAAGGACCTGTGAGTTGTCATATCATACCCAGCTAATCAGTGGAATGAGAATAAATTTAAACCTCCATGTTTGGCAAGGTCACAGGGCACAGATGTCCTGCTGGCTGGTGGCAGTCTCCTCCTAGCATCTGGCTGAAACTAACAAGCATCTCACCCTTTGACACTGGGAGTCCGTCTCAATGTGGGATTTTGTGTGAAACAACAGCAACAAGTACAACATCCAAAGGCTACTTGACAAAGATGTTAGAATTAGGACACACAGCAGGAGACTGACAAAGGAAAGGAGTCCCGCCCTCCCTGTGGTGGGGATGACCTGGCAGGGGAGCAGGCGTGCACTTGGGGAAGGTGCACCAGTGTGGGATCCCCGCGCCCAGGGGCTGCAGGGAGTGGAAGCCACGCAACTGGGGCCAATACGTTCTCCAAGACTCCCACGCCCAGAGTGAGCTCGTGGATCCTAACAACCTCCAAGTGCACAAATGGTGGGGGGCAAAGGGACGTTTGGCTTTAGCTACTATTTTGCCCCTTTAGTTAAGCCGGTTACCAGTGGTGTCAGGGTGAAAAGCAGCCACAAGCTCTTGTTCAGGGTTGTCCCTGGAAGGGGTGGGAGGGGGTGGCTAGTGGGGCAGGTGATATTTGGGTGGCCACTGTGGTGATTGTGCCAAGTGTCTCCTTCTGGTCCCCAGCCGCAGGTGAAGGACTACATGCTCGAGCTGGAGGGCAGGTGCACCTCCCTAGAGGCGATGCTGGCGCCAGCCAAGGAGAACCAGGAGAAGGGGAAGAGGATGGAGGCTGAGATGATTCAGCTGCAGA